AAATTATTGGAAAAATCCCCGTAAATTACACTTGAGACTACTACCTCTCTCTCACTGACCTTCCACTTGGAGACGAAAGAGCATAGTACAAAGAATAGCATAATCAGAGTCCAAGATTGAAAATGACACAAAATGCAGCTCAACCATCAGCAGATACCATAAAGACATAGGACTATAGCCCAAGACTCAAGCACAACCATGACTCAAGCACAACCATGACGTGGAGATGAAGAAGGTGAGCGAGGAGGCTGAGCCAAGAGGTTCTGGGAGGGACAGTGCAGAGGTCAGGAGATAAAGGAGGAGAAAGCTCAGCAGCTGGAAGGTCTGAGTCTCCATGTAGCAGTTTCGGCCCTTCCTGTGCCCAAAGGAGAGGCTCTATGGATAAAGCACCGGTGGATGGAGAAGACCAGGCTGCTATTCCACCTCCTGATCCTACTAGCATCTGGCTATCAGAGAAGGGCTCTCCCCTGCACTCAGTGTCTTGGGAAAAGAGGCCCCTATATCCCAGGTAGAATAAGGAGGCAAAATCAAAAGCTCAGAAACAAAACAAAAAAGAAAAAAACAGAGAATACAGAAGGCTACTTACACGACAAAGTAGGAATCTGAGAGATATTTTCCATATAAAAGGTTGTGTTTGAAAAGAATGAGAATGGGTTAATATAAAATGAAGTTTGTAACCACTTAGAAAATACTTCTTGGGAGACCAGCCAGCACAGCAGGGAAGGCACTAAGGCACTTGCCTTGCACTCAGTTATCCTAGGCTCAATCCCAGCACCCCCTAAAAAACAAACAAGTATTTCATGAATGTCTTCTGGGGACCAGGGATAAAGTTTCTAGTACTGATCAGTGTTTCCAAAAATGAGTGATACTATCATCAGAAGTGGGAGGGGAAAGGAGTGATCGAGGGGAGCAACAGTACCTTTGGGCGCCACGAGGTGAGCACTGTTTGCCCACTTAAAGAAGGCAGATTCCTGGGAGCCACTGAGTGTCATTTTTACTGAAAGGGGTGGAAAGGGGACAGCTGTCAAACAAGTTTGGGAACCTCCACTTAAAGTGAAGATAATAAAACAAACAAGCCAGAGCGATAGGACAGCGGGTAGGGCATTTGCTTTGCACACAGTTGACCTGGGTTCAATCCCTGGCATCCCATATGGTCTCCCAAGCACTACCAGGACTAATTCCTGAATGCAGAGCCAGGAGTAACCCCTGAGCATCGCTGGGTGTGACCCAAAAAGCAAAAATAGATAGATAAATAAACAAATAAATAAATCAAACAAGAAAGAATACAGTGATCACTTTTACGGAAGGGACCATGTCAACCAAGGTGCAGAAGTGGATGGTGCAGACGTGACTATGACTAAGATTGAATAAGGACTACAGTATTTCACTACGAACTTGTAGATGAGGATGGGGTGGGCTAATGGGAAACAATGGAAAGGTTTGAAACAAACATAATTTGGTTGAAATTTTGTATTAAATGAAGTGTGTGTGTGCATGCACATGTATGAGAGAGAGAGAGAGAGAGAGAGAGAGAGAGAGAGAGAGAAGGGATGTCAAAAATTGAGCAGCACTCTAAGGCTACTGCTGACGAACTGGAGAGCTGCCCCCAGCATTTCTTAAGAAGGCATTTTGTATCAGGGGATTGAAGATGGCCACAAGGAAGCAAGCACATCAATCCCTATATTATCACTCCAGCCCCTGGATTTTTTGGGAAGGGATGCTAGGCGTCAAAGCCAGGACCTCACACATCACAAGTCAAGTGCTCTGCCACCAAACTACATCCCTAAACCCTGGATATACATGTGTGCTGAGAACAGAAGAAAACTCTAGCATGGAAGTGAAGAAGAGGCCAGCTGGGAAGCTAAAAGTAAGTATTTTCCTATTTTCCTGTCACCATCTTTAAAACAGTCCCTGTTGTTTGAATTCAATTAAATTCACTGCTTTGCAAACGAAAGTCCAAAAGTGACGAAAGTAAGTAAGATAATTTTCTAGTTAAAGTATGCTTCTAGAATTTTCTAGGCTTTAGTAATTTTTTTAAACAAGGGGAAAGAAAAAAGGAAGGGGACGAGAGGAAGTTGCTGGAGAAAATACCCTAAGTTCCACAGAGTGACAGTAATGTGAAAAAAATGTAACAGACACTTAAAATTCACATTCAAAACCTTAAGAGGAATGTGCACTTTACTGAAAATGAGACCACATATTACACATTATGGGGTTAGCCCAGTCATCTCAAAACAAGACAAAGATATGCCAAGAATATACATCACTCATCATTACAGTGGGGAATTGGTGTTTGACACTTAGAAAGCTGACATCCTGAGTTTTCTGTTTATGTCCAGACTGATATTAGCATTACAAAAGTGGAAGAAGTCACTCAGCTAACCATATGTTGCCTGATCACCCCCGTTATTCAGGCCAATGGTGTGGAACAAAACAAAAGAAGGTTGTCAACCCCACACAGAGCCTGTCCTTTCCCAGCCTTGGGAAATAATGCTACGGAGAGCAGGAGCATTGCTCAAACACTTAATAAGCAATGCGGCCTAGGAGCTTACATTAAGCCATCTTGCTTTCACTGTCTCACACTCTCCTTCTATGTGTGTGTGTGTGGTGGGGGGGGGGGGGAGGTAGGGGGGGCGTGTCACCCCTGTGTCTTTCCCACTGGGGAAGGAAGGAGGGATGCAGAGGCGGAAGGGAAAAGACCAGTGTGAAAAGGTGCAAAATGCTGCACATCATCTGAAACATCACTCTAGCCTGGCCTGAGCCCAACACCCACAGGTGGCAACGCCCACAGCCAAAAATGAAAGGAGGTTTGTTGATTTTCTTCCCATTGGAACTTAGAGTTCTTCAAAACTGTGAATTCTAAAATCATCATATAGTGGCTGGTGCGATAGCACAGTGGGTAGGGCATTTGCCTTGCATCCGGGTTCGGTTCCTAGCATCCCATATGGTCCCCCAAGCACCACCAGGAGTAATTCCTGAGTACATTGCCAGGAATAACCCCTGTGCATCGCGGGGTGTGACCTTAAAAGCAAAATAAAATAAAATAATCATATAAATGACTAATTTTCAGAGGTGCTTCTTTCACAGTCTTAGTTAGCAACTCTAAGAGGAAGCAACTGTGCTCAGGACACATGTGCGAGCAGGCACTAAGAGCATGTGTGTTCGAAGTTGCTTCAAGCTGACAATTTATTATACAACAAAAGATAGGCGGTGGGTTAAAACCAAAAAAGAAACAACCATCATTTTGATTAAAACTCAAACTGGTCCTACCCAAGTTAAGTGTAATTAAGGTAAAGGCCCTCCCGTTGATCGTCGATTTGCTCGAGCGGGCCCAGTAACGTCTCCATTGGAGACTTTGTTGTTACTGTGTCTGGCATATCGAATACTCTCGGTAGCTTGCCAGGCTCTCTGAGAGGGGCGGAGGAATCGAACTCGGGTCGGCCATGTTGGCCGCTTGTAAGGCGAATGCCCTACCCGCTGTGCTATCGCTCCAAGTGTAATTACAGAGAAAATATCTCTTTCTGAATACAGGAAATTCAGACAAGTTCAGCAAAGAACAGCAAGGTAAGTTTTTTTTTTTTAAGAAATCCAAAATTGCCAGGTTTCTTTTAATTACACATTTTTATTGGACAAGAGAGGGAGAAGAGAAGGAGAAGGCCACAGGAAAGGGAGCCAGAAAGAAGGGGAATCAGGGAGGGGAAGAAAGAGGGGAGGAGAAGGGAGGGAAGGATGGGAGGGGAAGATCCCACTGTGAAATAAACTTAGAAAACACTGCTCATATTATCTATTTCCCCCTTGGAAATTCACAGTAGACAGCAACTGAGCTTAGGAAAGGCTCTTACCCCAAGTTTCCCAAACCTGTCTGACCACAGAACTCATCTGAAAGTGCATGTAGCAGTTTTTCAAACAACTGCAAAATCACTGCCTCAGCAAAGTTAGGACAAGGCTAGCAGAGTAAATTTAAGACACACTGAAGAATGCCTTGAACACCAAGCCAAGAAACACCGTCTTTATGAATAATAATTCTGAAAACGAGGTGCTGACGCTATGGTTCGGGTGCTTGCTATTTTTAATAGAGGTATTAGTGCTATGTAACTATTAGTTTCAGGTGTACAGCAGGACTTGACAATTGAATACATACTGCAAAGGATCATCACAATAAGCCAAGTTCGTGTGCGTCACCATAAACAGATATCCAAGCAATGGGGTGGACAGGTGTTTTTCATTTTAAGGGTGTCAATCCAGACTGACCTTTATGGCAAGACTACGTAACAAATGCAGGAGGTTATATAATGCAATTCAATAGCATGTGTGCGGTTTTTACCAAAACATTCACTTTATGCTACGAAAATCAAGCAACTAGTATTAACAGGAGACATGCTCTATGGCTGGAAAGACTAAGTAAAGTGGCAGCGGTGAAAGGTGTCAGAAGACACTGAGCAGTCGCCCACACAAAGGAAGCACAAAATGCACAGACAAGTCCATACCCTGGCTGCCACCCTTCACCTTTTCTTCACCCCCTGAAACCTAACAGGAACCCCCAACATCAATAAATAGGCCACTAGATGTAAAAAGCTAAAGCAACCCTTGCATATTAGAATTACGAGCGATAGCACAGCGGTAGGGCGTTTGCCTTGCACGCAGCCAACATGGCCGACCCGAGTTCGATTCCTCCGCCCCTCTCGGAGAGCCCGGCAAGCTACCGAGAGTATCTCACCCGCACGGCAGAGCCTGGCAAGCTCCCCGTATTCGATATGCCAAACACAGTAACAACAAGTCTCATGATGGAGACGTTACTGGGCCCGCTCGAGCAAATCAATGAATAATGGGAGGACCGTGACCGTGACCAAACCCAATTTTAAAATCTTAACTAAAACTTCTATGCTAAAAATGAGCATTTCTAATCATCTTAGTTCCTAAGGCCACTCTAAGCAGACTGGTCTTTCTTTTGCCCATTTACTGTAGATATATGTGTGCCAGCCTGTATGATAATGGTTTACCTGCGGCTGGAACTGAGGAACAGGTGGCCCCTGCATTCCTTGGGATTGTTCATCCATTGTCCAAAGCAACAGGGATTGTAGAACTCTGCAAGAATAGAGGATTGAGATTTTAATTACTTAAGCATTACCAAATTCCTGTTGTTCATCATGTCTGATGTTTGCACTTAAAAATGAGACATTTATGTAATGTTTCTAAAACTGTGCATTCAAGATAGCATGGTACTCTTATATCTGCCACTTGCTAACTCCAAGCTCTGTCGGCTAAAACCAGTATCACTATCATCACTATCATTTCTGTTCTCCCAAGTACCATTATGCTTCTATTACTATTTCTGGGGCTAGAGAGATAGTACGGGGTACGTAGGGCACATGTCTCCCATGTACCCAATTCAAGTTTGATCCCTGGCACCATACGGCCTCGAGAGCATTACCAGGTGTGGACCTGGCAGTCCCCAAGCACCATACACCAGCTGTGGTCCTGATCCATCTCCTAAGCTTCCCCGAGGTGACTGTGGAAGTTCCCAGCATCACAGGGATGAAGCAGCACTACATCCTTGGACCCTCACTTTGAACCACAAGTGCATGTGACAAACAGCTTATGGCAGTAGCCCCAAAACCCCTGAGCAGCGCTTGGGAGGCACCTGCTTCCAAACCAAAAAGAGAATTCCATCTCATGGCTTCAAACATTAGGCCTTCTAGATGAAGAACGTTCTTCCCTTTACCTGACAATACAAGAAGATAACTGTAATGGCAAGCTTCCTATAGTAGTGGTCGGTGCTTTACATCCCTAAAGTGCACTCCAAGAAGTCCTTACAGATCTTCCTTCATGTCATCCCATCCAATCTCAGGGTTCTGGATACAAACTGACTTAAACATGCATTTTAAAACTCAAACCTATCAATTATAAAATCTGATATTAAAATTAGAAGAAAATATGGTGTTTCTATTTGTATTTATAAGAAAATCATTTGGTGGATTTTATGGTTGTTATTTCTATAAAAACAATATGGCTATCCACTGAAAAATGTTTATCAGTTCATATAAGATCATGCTCGCTTCCCACCCTGCCCCCAGGCCAAGAGCTGTCCCCCCATGAGCAGCTCTCCGGCACAGTCATGGCCCCAGAGGCACATGGACCTAAGTCTGAGCCCAGCAGCTTTCGGCAGAAATGTGAATGGACTATGCATTAAACTATGGCGCCGTGCCCCCCTGGGAGGGAAAGGGTGTCTGTCTCTTACGCCTTCCCCTGCCCCCCCACCCACACACACACACATACAACATGGTGGCTGCTGCCTCAGAGCTATTGGGCAGCTAGGTATGAGCCGGTGGTGACTGAGCAACTGCGGCCTCATGGGATGCGGGGCGGAACCGGCACATCCTTCCCACCCCGCAGAAGCCGAGAATTGCCCCCCACAAGCGGCTCTCCGGCAAAGCCATGGCCCCAGAGGCACACAAACCAATCTTGTAACTATGCGCCTTTTGGCAGAAATCCCTCCAGACTTAATTAGTAAAATATCAAAAATTCAAAAGCATATGGTCTTCATAACCAGCAATAGAAAATAAATTATCTCACAATGCCTTTTCAGCAGGTCTGATTGTTGGGGGAAAATTCCAAATAATAATGGTGCATCTTTTATCAAAATAATGAATGTAATCAAAGTAGAGAGAGTTAAGTAGAAATCATCTGCCTCACACACATCGAGAGTGGTGGGATGGGGGGTATATTGGGGTTCTTGGTGGTGGAAAATATGCACTGGTGAAGGGATGGGTGTTTGATCATTGTATGCCCAAGACTTAAACCTGAACGCTTTGTAACTTTTCTCACGGTGGTTCAATAAATAAATTTAAAAATAAATAATTTTTTTTAAAAAAATAGATCATGCTCACTAATTTTTTTCCTGCTTCTAAAAAAAAAATCCTGACTAAAGATATAACCACCAGTCAGGCTAATGTTGTTGTTGTTGTTGTTGTTGTTTTTGTTGTTTTTAGTTTAACTTCTAACTTGAAACTTTAATTAACTAGTGGTGACATAAAGACAGTGGTGGAAGGCCATGGCATATGGGTAGTGGCGAGGAAATCTAACACAAATACTATTAGGTCAAACACTGCAATCTTATTACTTAACTTTTAACATTAAAAAAAACACTTAATTTTAGAAATAAGGAAAATACTGGGTGGTTTAACAACCATAAAATACACCAAATGATTTAACAACCATAAAATACGCCAAATGATTTTCTCAACCATGTAGTCCTCTATGTGAGCCCAGAGTTCCCATGGGAACCAACCCATGCTGGGAACAAGACCTTGGATTTACCCAAGGACCCTTGGAAGTCCTGTCTGCTGTTATCGCCACCCTGTGGCTACTGGCAAGTTGGTCCTTGTCCCAACAGTGGAACAGGTGGTCAAGTAGGGGGCGCCTTGACAATGAATGTCAAGAAGTCATAAGACTAAGAAGTGATCTGAAAGGGAGTTGGTGCCACCAGCCCCCTCCTCTGGACCGAAGGCTGGAACCAGTCAGGAATCACAACAGGAACAAAGGTCTTCCCTTGGACTAGGAAGAAATAGCATCTGTGTCGCTTCCTTGGACACACCCAAGCAATAGCACTAGGTTCCTTAGGCTCCTTTTTTTTGTTAGTCTCTTGTGTGTTCTTTCTGGAGATTCGTTTTACAAAATGCAAAAGTAATCACAAGTTCTTTCAGAGTAAAAGTTAAAGGGCCATGTGTATAATGTGTATAGTTTCTTATTTCCCCCTCTTACAGAAATAGGCTCTTGTCTACACAAAAAGGACCCAGCGGAGGCAGCTTGGAGACCAGCCTACAAAGTTAGCTTGAAAAAGCAAAGCTTGCTTGCTCCACCCTGGGTGAGCTGCATATCCCACTTTGGGGTGCCTAATTTCTTTTCTTTACAGGATTCTTTCCTTTCTCTGGACAAACTACATTCTTTCTTAGAGGTACATCTTTTTCCTTGCTCCTTTTTAATACAGTTTCTTTGTCTTTAAAAAAAAAAGTTCGGGAGGGATACTGGGAAGATTGGTGGTGGAGAATGGGCACTGGTGGAGGGATGGGTACTCAACCACTCACTGTATGACTGAATCGTAATCATGAAAGTGTGTAAGTCTATAAATGTATCTCACGGTGTTTCATTAAAAAAAACTTTTAAAATAAAAATTTAAAAAATTTAAAACATTTTTTAAAAATTAAAAAAAGTTTAAAGAAATTATATAGTTAATTAAAGGTATGTATAGATTCTATTTATTTATTTATTTATTTACTTTTTTATTTTTTTATTTTATTTATTTTATTTTATTTTATTTTTTATTTTTTTTTATTTTTTATTTTTATTAGTGAAACACCATGAGGTACAGTTGTAGATTTACAAATTTTTGTGCTTGGATCTCGGTCCTACCACGATCAAATACCCATCCCTCCACCAGTGCCCATTTTCCACCACCAGGATAATATCCCTCCCCTCCCATCCTCCCATCCCCCCACCCACCCCCTGCCACTGTGGCAGGGCATTCCCTTTTGTTTTCTCTCTCCTCCTGGGTGTTGTGATCAACCAAAGAGGCATTGAGTGGCGAAATTGTTCAGCCCAGTCTACTTTCAACCTACATCTCCCCTCCTGGGAGGATCCTCCAAACACCCTCCACTTGGTGTTCCCCTTTCTATCTGAATTGTCCTTTCCCCTAGAATACCCAGCTGGCCTCTAAGTTATGGAGTAATTCTCCTGGTGTTGCTCTCAGAGATTCTATTTATTTTTAAAAATCTTTTCTGTATTCAAAACTGCATTTCCATAATCCTATCATAGTTTTCCTGTGATATCTAACTCATGTAAAACCTTAAACTACATCTATACCAATCTGAAGTGAGATTTCAGAAAAACAATTTATAGAACCTTTGCTTATCTCAATCTGTTTTTACAATTCTAAAGAGTAAACTGGAAATAAAATTTCTCCCCAGACACAATTATTCATGAAATACCCAATTCCTTCCAGTTATATGCAATATTAAATATCCTATGAATGAATATCCATAAGGGATATTTTGCTAACCAAAACAAGTATTACTTATGAATAATGAGGATTAACTATATAAAAATAGCAACACCCTATTGTTCAAAAGAATGACATTGACTTAAATATATGTATATGTGACACCGAAAAAAATGAAGAAACAGACATTTTAGTGTGACCTATACTTAGCCGAGTCCAAAACTCAAAGCCAGAAATAAATATTTTTCTTGGCCCCAAAGAAATACTCCTGACCTCACCCTCCTGTCTCCATTGAAATGACTGAGTCATCAGCCGTTCCCATAATCAAGCAAGCGACATTTCCATATCAGATAGCACAAGGAAGATTACACAGAAGCGATTAACATCCACAGTTCATTTCTACATCTCTGTATTATTAATGGGAAGACTTTTAAAGACTATCAAGAAACAGCTTTTTGAAAGGGATGGTAGATTTCTCTAAAGCATCATGATTTCAACAAGTTCAAAACATTCACTAATGGAGCTCCAGTATTGGTTTCTAAATGCCATTGTCCACTGAGAATATCTTACTATGCCAAAAACATAGGTGTGCTCACAGGACAGCATGGACACGCTGGAAGGACAGGGAAACATGTAAATAGGTACCCACCACAGGCTTCATTTGAAGTGATTTGAGTAGGGCAGATTTTAACCCACTGAATAAAATAACTCACAAGTAGGTAAAGATATAAACTAAACAGTGAGAAAGGGGTGTGTGCACACAAGCTAATGTGTGTGCACACAAATCAGAATAGCTGGTTTTTAGAATAGCATTAAAGTCACAATATATAATCGGTATTGCTGTTATAACATAAGTGCTATTATATTAGCAAACAAAATTTGCATCTGAGATTTTCATGTTTCATTCTTTCTCAACATACTTCTCTATATTATTAGTGACTGGAATTTCCTGCTACTTGGTGCAAAAAATATTTTTCTGAGTATCCTCAACAAACAAGTTAAAAATAACAACCAAGGAAAATGGGCACTGGTGAAGGGATGGGTACTTGATCATTATATAACTGAAACCCAAGCAAAAAAATTTGTAAGT